AATCTGATTGAAAATTTGATGGTGGTGGTGGTTGAAGATGACAAATGGGTTAGAGAGAGAAAGGCGAGACAAATAAGTTTATAGAGAAGAAAGGTACAGCTTGATGGGTTCCGGCGCCGCCCACTTCCTTGGTCACGGTTTAGTTCGCATGCACGACAGTGAGTGCCCAATCTTGCAGGTTAACTCCGCGGCCCGCCGATTCATCGCCGCCATCATTTCCTCTTTTTTCTCTGGTGGCATGGGTTTGTAACATGGTGAGACAAATATATATATATATATATATATATATATATATATATATAAGAGAACCGCAATTCTTCATGATGGGTGGTTGCCGCTGTGGTGTTGAAGGAGAAGGAGAAGGAGAGTATAGCTATGCTCCTCATTTGGTCGATGAAGCTCGTCGGAAAAATTCAGTTCAGAAAAACTGGCTTCATCGTCCATAGTTATCCGCACTGGGTTCGATCCAGAGGTGTTGAGTCATAAACTAGGATGAGTTGATTCAGTTGGGGGCAGGTTTTGGATTTGGGTTTCACCTATCTGCTGCCAACAACAGCGAAGGTTACCAGAATTGGATAATCCAATTACAGCCTCGCCACCGTTGGAAGTCGCCTGGTCCATTGCCGTCGCAGACCCATTTTCAATACCCATTTTCGGTCATGCCATGCCGTCGGACAACCGTAGATTCCAGAAATACAGAGCATTAAAATTTCTCCTCTTGTTGGTTTCCCTCTCTTTAATTCTGGCTTTCTCTTGGATTCCATATATCAACCTTAATCATCAAAGAGAGAAATAGAGAAGATGAGAAGAATCTAACAACTGAAAGACTAATCTATGAGAGAGAAAGAAATAAACCAGAAACAGAAAAAGAATGATAGATTCTTAGAGAGAGAAAATGAGATAACTTGGTGAGATGACGTGGCTATGCCACATTGGTTTCGGAGGATATTCCGGTTGTTTGAGCAGGAGGAATAATAATATTGCATGACTGGTTGTTCCCAAAGTTCTAAAACTTGCTCATTATTAACAAATAATAATAATAATAAATCAATCTTGTGCATAAAGCACCTGCATTTTGGTGAAGCACAAGAACAATTTTCTTTTGTTTTCATTTTCTTTTTGTTTGCGCGATTTTTTGGTTTTACACCGGTCGATGGACTTTTTACAGGCGTGCTAGAGTATTTGTATAAAACACTTAAAAATGAATCTCAGGCGATTGTGTGGAAGGGAGACTAGTAAGAACTCCCAGTAAGATTCTTTTATGCCTTGTTTGTAGCAATGACTTTTTATCTAGGTGCTAAAAGAAGTAAAAATGCGAATTTAAATTGACTTTAAAATAAAGATGGCTGAAACGAAATGGACTGAAAAGTAATGGTGCAATGGAATAGAACAGGCCGAATTAAATTGACATAAATCTGATCAAAGATTTGTCATTTGAATTCGTTGCATAAAACAAAGATTAAATTTGTAAATAACATAATTAAGCATTGCAAAAGAAGAATAAGTTACTAGAACTTAATTTCTGCGAATGAAATTTGTCATTTGGACAAATGAATTGAAGATAAAGATGGCGTTGAATCATTTGATGAATTTTTGAGGAATTTTTGATTCATGGGTGGTGCTGGACAAATTGGAAAGAAATTACAACACTTCTATTTATAGAAGTCTTAATTAACTTATTTCCTAACTAATTGCTCTAAAAATCCTATTTCCCTCGCTTTGTTATTCAAACTAGGTCATGACCTAGTAATCTTCCACGTCTTGCCTCATCTTGCTTCACTAAACTTTAATCGAAAATTCTTGCTGAGGACTCTCCTTGATTTAGTCAAATACAAATTGCCGATTTATTGCTAAAAAGTTGGTAGAGTAGTTGCTAATTTTTAGCAATCTCTTTCCTTAAGCTCGGCTGAAGTACTTCCCTTTAACAACCTAAATAACCTTTTATAGCTTTTGAATCCATATGATTGTTCCTTCTTTGTTGGAATCCTTTCTCCAGTTAAATCCCTACTTCATAGGGATTTCTTTCTAGCCGTATTTCTAGTATTCCCTTTTCAGTCAATAACCAAATTTGAATTAATTCAAATTCTTGTTACAAGAAATATATATTTTCAGCAACAAACTTATAAATAAAGTGGCTGAAATATATTTCCTAGATTTTCTCCTTTTGTCTCTAAAAATCCTCTTTCCCTTGATTTTCTTCGCTTTGTTATTCAAACTAGGTCATGACCCAGTAATCTTCTACGTCTTGCCTCGTCTTGCTTCACTAAACTTTAATCGAAAATTCTTGCTGAAGACTCTCCTTGATTTAGTCAAATACAAATTGCCGATTTATTGCCAAAATGTTGGTAGAGTAGTTGCTAATTTTTAGCAATCTCTTTCCTTAAGCTCGGCCATATGATTGTTCCTTCTTTGTTGGAATCCTTTCTCTGGTTAAATCCCTACTTCATAGGGATTTCTTTCTAGCCGTATTTCTAGTATTCCCTTTTCAGTCAATAACCAAATTTGAATTAATTCAAATTCTTGTTACAAGAAATATATATTTTCAGCAACAAACTTATAAATAAAGTGGCTGAAATATATTTTCTAGATTTTCTCCTTTGGTCTCTCTGTTGGCCGACTTTACTTGGAATCATGCTGAACACGTGTCGGCCCATCACTGGTCCACGTCACCGCTGAGGTGGCTGCCAAATTTTGGTGCCAACACTTTTATAGAAGCCCCGAAACAATTATGAACCTTATTTTGAAGTAGACACACATTTACAAGTGGAAGGCTTCTTTTTTTTTGGTCTCTTTTCACCCTAATTGGGGATTACTTGTTACTCACCCTTGTCATTTTCTTTGTCAATAATGCTTACTCACTTATATGGGTTTAAGTTATACATATATATATATATAAGATGATGATTGGATAATCCAAGTAATGTCAAGTGTGTGATACATATATATGATGATTTGCTACATGGATGGAACATATAATCTATAAGGTGGTGTTGTGTGATACTTACGAATTTCGTATATCTTTCTATACTTATTCTTTATTTAGGTTTCATTTATTTCAACATAAAATATTTTTTTAATATTATTTTTTTTATTTTTCGGTGTTTGGGAGGCTATAAGGTTAGGAAATTATTTGTCATGTAAATCATTTTAGCCGTAAATGACTTAAAATAATTTACCAAAAAAGTCTCCGTAAGTCATTTTCAACAAGCTACCTTGGGTCATTTAATTATATGTATACGTTGAACCCCTATATTCCTCTAACAACTAATATTTTTCAGTCCTTTTAATATAAAAATCTAATTTTCAGTCTTTTCTCTCTATATGTATACATAAAATGAGAGGAGAGAGAAAGAGAGAAGAGACAAAAAGGGACACAAATTTGGGTCGGTCGATGAACAAATTTGGAAAAGTAACGTGTAGAGAAGAGGGGGATGGTTTAAGGGGTACTATTCCGTCGTTGACTCAACTCCACCGGAGGGCCTATCAAATTCCAAACAAGTCTAGAATTGGGCTGAGCTAGCCCAAGTCCACCGAAAGAATTTTGAATTTTGGTGTACCCATCAATACTAAATGGATCAGTTAGGCTGGAGCCTAAGTAAGAGTTGGACCAGACCCAAAAGTGATGGCCCAAATTCAACCCAACCTAACCTAACATAATCTACGTCCCACATACATAGTCCTCAACGTTTTTGACCCCTTGGATCGAAGTAACAGAATACCGCATGATTGTCTTAATCTTCATTTAAATCAATCATGACCATGCAATGTTCCTAGTAGACCTCCAATTCTGCAAAAGTTATTAGGTAGTCCTGACCGGACCGGATCGGACCGGACAATATGGTTCCGACTAAATTGGAGATGTCATGTAATTCCATGATTGCTTTTTTTAATGTAACATCACAAAACTACTATACTCTAGTACCTTTTTACTTTTGTTTGATTTTATATTTTCCTTAAAACTTGGGGCTTTTTTTTTTTTTTTTTTTTTTTTTTTTTTTTTTTTTCTGGGAGGGTGGAAATGAATTAATTTTTACAGGGTTGTGATGCTTCTCTGCTGCTTTATGATACCCCAAATATGCTAAGGCGAATATTTTTTTATGTAACGGATTCAGTAAGGGTTAGTTTGGTGCAGTGGAATTGATGGAATAAAAAAAAGTCAAATGGAATGGTTTTTTTTTTTTTTTTTTTTTTTTTTTTTTTCCTATTATTGTATTTGGTGCACAATTTTAAAGTTAAAATCATCATTCTCTACTATTTTTGAAAAATGGTCATTCTATTAAAATCATTCCACCATCCGACAAAATGAATGACCATTAATTCCATTCCCACCTAAAAAAAAAGTACTGACTACACAAAATATTACTAGTAAAAAATAAGGTTGAAGTGGTGTTCCTAACAAATTACAAACCTACAACAATCCAAGAGCGTAAACAACCGACGACGAATAAGGAGGAAGCAAGGCCGGCTCCGACAAGCAAGGACGAAATAATCGGTGAGCAAGGATGCCGACGTTGAACTAGCCGAATGAATCAGCAATGAAGAAGATGAACTGGTGATTTTGTGTTCTGATCGAATTTAGAATTTAAATCATGTTTGGAAGATTGGGAATAGAGAAGAAGAGAAAAATATATATGTATGTATATAAAAATATTCTTTATTTGGTTGAATAGTTTTCCTTTTTTAATTCATTTACAATCAAATAAGGTAATTAATGGAAACCAAACAAGGTAATGGGAATGGATCATATCATTTCCATTTCATTCCTTGATTCATTCCATTCCAATCTTACTTCATTCATGATCTACACTAAACTAGCCCTAAGATCTTATGAAGTTATCAATGAAGCCAAAATCATATAAATTCTCTTATGTTTGGTACGTTTGCCGTTTTGTTTTCATCCAAAACAAAACAAATGTATTGTTCTAGAGTGCTTTGAATTGAATTGTTGACCTTTTTAACAACCTAATTGTCACTTTTGGTTGGTGTTGTAACACATAGTATCAATAAGGCATTGAAAATGGTTGATTGGCTGCCACAAAGGAAGGCTGAGGAATAAGAGTTGTAGAAGTACTATACACATGAGTAGGGTTGTTATAAGGTATAATAGTATTTTGTTCTTGACTTTCATGGTGTAGTAGTACTTGTGGTTGCTCAAACCTCTGCTGCTGTTGTTGCTGCTGCTGCAGCTTAGGCACATGAAGCTTCTCTCCCTCCAACTCTCTATATTTGATGAGATACTGTTTGAGTGGCTTCACATAATCTTCAAACCCTAGGGTGGTGATAGCCCATATGATATCGTCTCCATTGATGGTCTTCCTCTTCTCACGTTGGCATTTATCGGAGGCTTCTCCGGTGACAAAGCTGATGAACTCCGACACACATTCTTGGACCGTCTCTTTTGCATCCTTGGAGATCTTCCCGTTGCCCGGAATCACCTTTTTCATGATCCGGCCAACGTTGGCTATAGGAAGGAAGCGATCTTGTTCTTTGTTGTTGTTGTTGTTGTTGTGGTTGCTGCTGTTCTTTGAACATGGGCTCTCGGGCGAGTGAATGCTCGTCTCGGTGGGCCCGTTTTCATGTGTCTGACCATCTTCCATGTCCATGGAGAATTTGAGAATGAGTTGAGCTCTGTGAGGACAAGTTTGTGTACTTATATGGATAAGGTAAATGGCATGAGAAGCATGAAAGTAGGCAAATGATGAGGAAGATAAAAGGCTTGGAAAAATTTTCACACATTTAGTCCCTCCGGACTCGCTCTCAAGGTTGAGAAACAATTTTGAATGTTTTTTTACAACTACTTAGTTTTCAAAATTCCGTAGTTCCGTACGGTACTAAACATAGAAAATTTGCTTCGTTTTTACAACTGGAATTGACTCATTGATTCAGTTTTTTTTTTTTTTTGTCAAACAATATTATGTTGTATGAAAATTTAAAAAGAAAAAAAAAAACGAAAAGAAAAAACCAATTCAAATGTTGATTTGATTTATAAAGTCCAAAGATTATTATATAAAAAGAGAGAAATTATTGAATAATTATTTTAGTTTTCTAATGAATATTTGGCCTTCAGCCTTCATGAAAATTACTTTTAGATTAACTCAAACAAACTTTGTGGCACTTGTAAAAGAACGGTTCACGGAGTGAGAGAAGAAACTATTTGCAATTATTATTAGGGGTGTACATGGCATACAATCCAAGTTAAATTGGAATCGAATTGATTTTAACGGTTTTTTTAAAATTGAAATTCGAATTAAAACTGTTGATGTTTGAAACTGCACCGAACTTAACAGTAAAATACCACCACGTGAATTTGGCTGATTAAAGCAAATACAAGTTTATAGAAAAATAGTAAACCAACCAGACCGAAGAAGGAAGCTGGGTTTGGGGTGAGGAAAATTGCAGACATTAATTCTACTTCAATGTGCCGACTGGTTTGGACCTTCCTTCAATCCAAAGACTGCCTCTGGGTTGCTTGGTTTAGATGGAAGTATACTCGAATTGTATCCTACTGGAATTATCAATCTGGGAAAACAGATCATATGCTATGGAAGAAGATACTAGAGGTCAGGGAATTCATGTTGCAAAATGTCAATTTTCAGATTGGAGATGGACAGTCTACTTTTTTGTTTACTGATCCATGGGTTCAAGGGGAAAGTTTGGTGACTAAATATGGACATAGAGTCCATAGAGACTTTGATCTGGCCAAGCAAGCAAAATTATCTTCCATTATTCAGAACGGTCAGTGGCAATTCCCACATCAGAACTCCAATACTTTACACCAGTTCAAGAACTTTGCTCTCTCTCTAACATTGAAGCAAGGTGATGACAGGTTTCAGTGGAGACATGGTGTCTTCTCTTTTGGAAATGTTTGGAATAGGTGGAGAAATCCACACCCAGAGGTGCAGTGGTTTTCAGTTTGTTGGAGTGGAGCGAGACCTAGAGTTTCTCTGGTCTGTTGTCTGGCAATGCAAAATAAGCTTTTAACCTTTGAAAATCTAAAGAAGAGGGGGCTGCCTTTAGTGTCTATCTGTCATAACTGCATGAACTCAGCCGATGATGTAGATCATCTTACTGTCAATTGTCCATTTGCTAAAGCAGTTTGGCAATGGTTGTCTGATGTTCTTGGGTGGAATATGCCTTCAGTCATTTCGTTAACTCAATTAGTGGATTGGTTTGTCACCAAAGGAATTAAACATAAGGCCCAAAAACGTATTTGTGCAACTACTATTTGGTATGTATGGAATGAGAGGAATTTGCGATTGCATCAGGAGGTTCGAAGAACTGCTATGGAAATTGCTAGAGCTATTTGTGGAGAGGTCCTAATGTTGTCTGGGATGGAGATGGGAGAGTTATGCTCTCAGTCTCTAGCTAATTGACACTTATTGTGTTTATCCTCTAGTTGTCGTAGACAACTTGTTTCCAAGGGATGCCTTGTTAATGATTTATAATTTTGTTTTATATCTGATAGGGAAAAATAACCCTAGCCTATCTTGACTTAACAAAAAAGGGAATTAAATATTGACCTGCCACCAGATTTCTCCAACTCTCAGACGATAATATCTCGTTATTAAGGATAACCATTCTATTAGATAAGAATGATGACAAATCGTATCTAGGATAGGATTTGTCATAGGATAAGTTCAAATCTTATCAAGGATAGGATTTCCACGAGGTAGGCTCCACGGGCTAAGGACGATGGAACTCCCTTATCAAGAATAAGGGAAGTGACTATAAAGACAAAGACGACTCGGAGATAAGGTACACACAAAAAAAACTCCTACTAAGCAAATAACGATTAAAATTCTTTATCGAGTAAAATCCTTGCTGACTTGATCGTCGGAGGGTCAACGGCCGGCACCACACCGGTGTTTGACTTTGCCATCCTTATTTTGCAGGAAACGTATCGTACTAGACCGTGGCGAAATTCAACCTCAACAGTTTGCGCCGTCTGTGGGAACAGCGATTCCCTTGAATCGATTTATTACTCGTTGGGTATAGACGTTTGCGGTCCGGTATGGTTACCGAAGGAACACCGTCGCAGGGATCTGGTCAAAGGGAAGAGTCGGGTGAAAATCTAGACGTCCCAAATGACCAGACACGATTTGCAGCGTTAGAACTGCAGGTCCAAACTCTGAATCAGGGTATGGACCAGTTGATCCAACAAAATGCAGCACTCTTGCAACACCTTGTTCCACCGGTTCAACAGGGCTTGCCACGCGAAGACCTCTCGAATCCAAACAGGGGTAATGGGAATCTGGAAGAGCAGGATACTCATCCTCCCCGACATGAGACCGAAGTTGAACAAAGCCAGGTGGGAAACCGACATAGAGAGGTGATCCACCCCTTTTTTCCACGGAGTTCCCGACCCCATGAAGACACGACTGTCATTGAAAAGACCGAGGAAATTTCCCACGTTGACCTAGAGATACAGGATCTCAAGGCAAAGATGGAGGGTGTGATGCAGGCCATGAAGGGAAAAGGCATTGCAGCCATAGATGGTTTGGTGCAGAAAACCAATTTGTCATTCAGCCCCTCGGTTATGAAATGCCCTTTGCCAAGCAAATTTAGAATGCCCACAATTGAGAGTTTCGACGGAACTAAAGATCCCCTCGACCACTTGGAAACTTTTCAGGCGCTTATGCACCTACACGCAATGCCGGATGAGATCATGTGCAGGGCTTTCCCAACGACTCTTAAAGGATCAGCACGGGTATGGTTCAACAAACTAAAGCCAGGAACCATCGAAACCTTTGAAGAATTGAGTAAGGGCTTCGTGGGCCATTTCATTGCTGGCCAGAGGCATAGAAGGCCGGCTACCCACCTCCTTACTGTGAAGCAACAGAAGGGAGAGTCACTGTGAGATTACATTAGTCGTTTTAACACGGAGATGTTACAGGTGGAGGAAGCGGATGACAAGGTGGCCCTAGCCGCCTTCATGGGAGGACTTCAAACCTCAAGATTTCTCTTCTCTTTGTCAGAGGAACCTCCTACCAACATGGCCGAGTTATTGGTTCGAGCTAAAAGACATATGAATGCTGAAGATGCAATGATTGGGAGAAAGGGAAAAGAAGGGGAGGATAAGAAGTCAGACAAGAAAAGGCCGGCCCTGACGATCAGAGATGAAAAGGAAACCAAGTATAAGAAACCCATGGTCAACCAGAATGAAAGGGCATCTCGCTATAAGAACACGGAGAGGTATACAAATTACACTCCTTTAAATATGCCGATAGATCAAGTTTTCCTACAGATCCAGGATGAACCATATCTGAAGTGGCCACCGAAGTTGAAGTCAGATCCGGCAAGGAGACCTCGTGATAAGTATTGCAGGTTCCATAAAGACCATGGGCATGCTACAGAGGATTGCTTCGACCTTAAGGATCAAATTGAGACTCTGATCCGAAGGGGGCACATGCGAAAATTTATTGTGGGGAATGACAGAACCGACATTAACCCACTAAGAGCAGGCCGAGATAACCACCCTCCTGATCAACAACCAATAGGAGAGATCAGGGTCATAGCCGGGGGGTGTGCAGGAGGTGGAGAATCGAGCTCAGCCCGTAAGGCCTATGCAAGGAGAATGCGAAGCTCATCTGAGGTGTGCGAAGTGGGAGTACAGAATCAACATCGAAAGATGCCTCGTTTAGGTGATCCAGTTATTACATTCTCAGATGAAGACATGAAAGATGTGCAACAACCTCATGACGACCCTCTTGTCGTCACCATGATGATCGCTAACTATAATACTCGGCGAATCTTGGTAGATAATGGAAGTTCAGCTGATATCATTTTTCTTGATGCATTCAGCAAGATGAAGATTGGTAAGGAGAAACTCAGACCTACCAGATCACCATTGGTGGGATTCACGGGAGACAAAGTCTATCCTCTAGGAGCAGTCATCCTTCCTGTCACTGCAGGAACCAGCCCAAAACAAGTCACTGTCATGGTCGACTTCCTGGTGGTGGATTGTCCATCTGCTTACAATGTCATCCTAGGAAGAGCGACCTTAAATTCGATGAGGGCTATCACTTCGACTTATCACCTATTAATGCGCTTCCCTACCGAGCATGGCGTGGGCAAACTAAGAGGAGATCAGTCCATTGCCAGAGAATGCTACGTTGCCTCTCTCAAAGAAAAGAGACAACAGGAGGCTTTGATTGTCGATGAAGTTGAAGAGAATGAGCAAGACCGGGCTAAGCTAATCGAGGACTTGGTGGAGATATGCTTGAATGACACTGACATAACAAAAAAAGTAAAGATAGGGTCTCTGCTCCCCTCAGATTTCACAAATATTCTTATACAGTTCCTCAGACATAATCAAGATGTATTCGCTTGGTCACATGAAGACATGCCCGGTATTAATCCAACTACGATTGAGCATCGATTAAACACAGATCCTACATTCAAACCTATCAGGCAAAAGCGAAGAACATTTGCCGCGGAAAGGAACATGGCTATATCAGAAGAGGTGAATAAGCTTGTGAAAGCTGATTTCATCCAGGAGGTTCATTATCCCGACTGGTTGGCCAATGTTGTTTTGGTAAAAAAGGCCAATGGAAAATGGAGGTTGTGTGTAGACTTTATGGATTTAAATAAGGCGTGC